GGGGTGCTCCCTGTCAGCCTATGTTGTTTCTCTCCTGAAATTTAAGGTGTGTATCTTAGTCTGTTCATGCTGCCATAACAAATACCTTAGACTAGGTAATTATTCTGTTGTTTATAAAACAAAAGAAATCTATTTCTCACAGTTCTGGAGGCTGAGAAGTCCAAGAACACTGTGCCGGCAGAGTCAGTGTTGAGTGAGGGCCCATTCTAGTCTATGTTTGGTGCCTTCTGTGTTTCCTCACATGGTGGAAAGGGGCAAGAGAGCTCCCTCCAGCCTTTTTTTTTTTTCCTTTTTGAGATGAACTCTCGCTCTGTTGCCCAGGCTGGAGTGTGGTGGCTCAATCTCAGCTCACTGCAACCTCCATCTCCCAGGTTCAAGTGATTCTCATGCCTCAGCCTCCGGAGTAGAGCCTTTTTCTTTTTCTTCCCCCAATAAGGGCACTAATCCCATCCATGAAGGTGGAACCCTCATGACTTAATCACTTCCCCAAAGCCCCACCTCTTAATACTGTCACATTGGATGTTAGGTGCCAACATGTGAATTTTGGGGGGACACCAATATTCAGACCGTAGCAACATGTTTGGACTTGTCTCACTGAACAGTAAAGAGAACCTAGGGGGTTGATTTATATGTGGGCCTTTTAGATGATGGAAGGAGTTCAAAGGAGTACTGGGATCCCACGTAGATGGAGAAGACAACAGGGATCTGGCTTGATTGTGCCTATTCCCCTTCCCTCTGCCTCAGAGCCCAGCTTGATGAGTTCATGTTGGAGCTTTCTGGAGAGGGCAGCTGCAGACAAAGCAGGAGGAATGCCTGCCACTGAGGATCACTGAGGACGCTGAGAGACACAGAACTGAAAGCAGTCTGGCTGTGCATGGTTACGTGGCTATGTTTCCAGGATCAGAAATGCTCAGTCATGCTAATATTGCCACGATTTTAGTAATGAAATACGAGACAGAAACAGGAAGGGGCCAGTCCATACAAACATAGCTTCAGTGCTGAGATTCCTGGGCACTCAGCCTAATTTCGGCATCTGAAAAACAGGGGGCCTGCTCCCCCTAGGAAGCCAGGAGGGCAGCCAGGACTGGGACAGTGGCCTTGTCAGAAGGTGGGAAGTGCGAGAGGGGAAGATGCAGGTGCCACAGAGGAGTGCAGAGGACTCTTCACAAGCTCCTTGAGATATTCCTGGGACTCTCAGACTTAGAAGTGGGCCCAAGTTATGGGTTTGGGAATGCTAATAATGTAAAATGTTAAATTTTCTTAAATAACAACAACAACAAAAAAAACCCACATGGCAAATAGAGGAGATGGACCATGAAAATTGTATGAAATAAAAAAGCTTTATATTTTAAAACTTTTAAAGACATTGTTTTCCTACAGATCTAGGTTCAAGAAATGCTCTGGCACTAACAATATGTATGGCATTAAGTCACTTGACCTCTCTGCTGCACTCTTTTCTCATCTGTAAAGTGGATGTAATAATACTACCCATGTGGTTATTGAAAGGATTAAATGAGATAATAATGTGCATAAGACACATGATTAGCCCAGAGTCTGGCATGCTGTAAGTGCTCAATAACTAGGTACAGGCTCCAGCATGGCAGCCTATTCCTAATCCCAGTCTGAACTGGTCTGGGGAAACTTGGGTGTGGACTTAATATGTTATTCAGCTTTCTCAGGTAATGATCCATTAGAGGGGACTGTTGGGTCCTCATGCTTTGCAGGTCACAGAGGTGAAATATTCTCCATGGGGATGTAGGCTTGACAGATAGGGAGAGGCAGGAAACAGGGCCAGCTTCAAAGGTATGCAACCTGTGTAGTCTCACCAGGCCCTGTCTGCAAAAGGGCCCTGTGCTTGGTTTAATGTTGTGCTGTCACCATCTTGAAATTCTTAATAATTTTCTCTTTGAACTTGTGTCTTGTAAGTGAAGTCTTGATGGACGATGGAGCATGCATGTTGAGGAGATGCATGCAATATATGTGTCTGCCATTCCTTGCTGCTCCATTTGCATGTAGCATTCGTGATGCCTCATTGAGCACATAATGTGGGTGTACCCGCAATGCGTGGGAGTTCGGGCAAAGTGAGTACAAGATGAAGGTGTTTCCACCACTGAGCAAGCTGGGTTCCTGCCAACACCAAAAGGCCATGCTGTCCATTCAAATCAGAACTTGTTATGAATGCAGAAAGAAGGCAATGGCATTCTAAGAAGCAAAAACGACCAAGGAAACCTATCACACCCTTTCTTACTCCCTTGCATTTGCCAGCCACTTTCAGGGAAAAATAATGATGTAGAAGGAAAGACAAGATAGGTCAAACCATTGCTCTTTTTCCTTTCAGTCCTTCCTTATTCAATAGTAAACTGAAGGTAGAGAGTGTTGGTAGAACATGCGCGCAGCAAGTTGTGCAATGAAAACAATTCCATTAATTTTGTGTAGTGTCTCCACTGTTCCAGAAAGCATGAAATACATAGGCATGGCCTGGCACGGTGGCTCATGCCTTTAATCCCAGCACTTTGGGAGGCCGAGGTGGGCAGATCATGAGGTCAGGAGTTCAAGACCAGCCTGGCTGACATACTGAAACCCCGTCTCTACTAAAAATACAAAAATTAGCCAGGCATGGTGACATGAGCCTGTAATCCCAGCTACTCAGGAGGCTGAGGCAGGAGAATTGCTTGAACCTGGGAGGTGGGGGTTGCAGTGAGCTGAGATTGCACCACTGCATTCCAGCCTAGGCGACAGAGCAAGACTCTGTTTTGGGGGGAAAAAAATACATAGGCATATGCACACCATGAAATGAAAACTATATAATTTCAGTGATTCTACAAAGAAATTATATGCCCTTATATTTGCATTTAAAACAGGTTTTGTGTAATATGGAGCTGAATGGTAAAATTCATGCTAACAATTTAAAAACATCAATTTTTCTTTATTTAGAACAACATTAAATAGCAAATAAAAAACATATGGTGAATATAGACCATGAAAAAGTACGTGAAAGAAAAATGTTTTGTATTTTAATATTTTTAAAGGCCTTTTTTCCTGCTTTTTTAGTAAGAAACTCTATGTTGTCATTTTGCACTGGGCCCAACAAATTATGCAGACAATCCTGGCAGCCAGTTGATATATGTGTTGCAGAGTTTTAAAATGTTTCCATGTCACCCTCCTTCCCCGCCGCCTGGGCCACCTGGACTAAGTTGAGTAGGGCTGTGTTGTCAGAGAGAGCCTCACTGGGCAAACAGCCTCCTCCTTCTTTTCTTGGATTTATCTTTCTTTTTCTCGAGAATGGCAAAGTCCTAGAGTGCTCAGATGAAGGTGCTGGCCACCCTCAGCCAGATTTTCACCGAGGCTCCAGGCCTGCCTATCGCCTTTAAAAAAACTTGGCTCCTTCTATCTCACCAGGAGACAACCGGGGGCTTGTGGCCAAAGCCCCATCCAGGAAGACTTTCCCTGTAGGCATGTGTATGTGTGTGTATGTATCTCCCTCTGGGCTTATCTTCATAGCAGGGGCTTGTTCACGGCTTGGTTGGGACCCCCACACTCTCATCTCAGTGTTAACAGTCATGAGAGTCCGCTCCCAGAATCTGTCCCCATGCCTTTCTCTCCTGGCCACCTGTCAGCACTCCAGGGTTCGGAGGGAGAGTGGTGAGGGCTGATGAACTGGTGAGAGGCCCTAGGAGAGGCCGTGCTGGGAGGGTGGACCTGCCAGAGAGGGCACCTCCCCTGCTGAGGAAGCAGCAACAGCGGGGATGTGAAGAACTCTTCTATAACGAGCGCGGGCGAGTGAGGACAGGGGCATCAATCACCACCAGTGGTGACACCGTCCCAGCTCTTCCTGTCAGCAGCTGGCTTCTCTCCTCACCTCTTCTGGGACTGGGGATCTGGAGGCATCCTGAGCGAGTTCCATGTGTGCCAGGCAGGGCCTTTCCAAGGCTGCAGTGACTGCTTACTGCCGCCTCTTGAGTACAGTTTGCTCGAGTTGAATTGTCTGTGTCCAAAGAATTGTTCCAACCAGAGCAAAACAAAACCCTTACAATGACACAAATGACTGAGACAGGGGCAGGGTTACAGGTTTGTCTTTCATAGTACCATTTTTGGTCAATGGGGGAGCCAAGGAATATTGCTGGGAAAATTCATCTACTCATGCAGTGTTTTTATTATCTACCTATTTTATAAAAGAAGTCCTGGGATTCAAAGATGAATACAATGCACTTAATGTCCTTAAAAGCAGACCCCTTAATAGGGAGGACAGCAGAGTAATAACAGAATTATCAAACACATACAGCACCACTGGCCGGGCTGTAATCCCGCCATCGACAAAGAGCTGAGGGCACCTAAAGGAGAAAGTGCCTAACTCTGAACAGATTCAGGGAAGTTGTCCTGTGAAGTGACACACTTGCTGAACCTGAAGAATGTATAGGAGTTTTCCAGGAGGTTAAAGTGTGTGTGTGCAGGAAGCAAAGAGACAGAAGTTGGTGTATAGCCTAGTTTATCCTAGAAGGGGGAAAAGGGAATGTAAAGGTATGAAAGTATAGATGAGCAAGTAAGGGCAGATACCAGGGGATTTGGGAACGGCGAGGAAGCTGAAAGCTCTGGAGTGATCAGCCCTTCTAGATTGTGGGGTCCAGGGAGGGTGTGAGGAAAGAGGTGGCAGTCTCTCTGGGCCTCTGCTGATGGACTATTTTGACTGGCAGAGCTAGAGAGGGGAGTATTCCAGGAGATGAGATAGTACACACTGAGTAGAAAACCCAGGGCATGTTTGGATGACAGCAAAGTTTAGCTGGTGTGTAGAGAAAATGAATAGCAGAAATGGTTAGAAAGAAGGTCTGCCGAAGAGTTTGGACTTTAATTCCTTTGGTAAATGGGAACCACTAAAGTTTTTTTGTTAGTGGTTTTGTTGTCATTGGTCTCTCTCTCTCTCTCACTCTCTCTCGTGCATGTGCACGCATGTTTTTTGTAAAGACAAAGTCTACGTTGCCAGGCTGGTATCAAACTTCTTTATTTTTTTAATGAAAGGCCTGACATATTTATTACTGAACCCAGCCAATCAATGTGTTTATAACAGATTCAGAGAGGAAAACATGTCGAACTCTCCAGATAGTGGTGACATTTCCAGCTTGATATGGTAACGGGATTGTGACCTTCAGGCAGCATAAATATGTGTGCCATCTCATGTGCAATTCCTTATAGACCTAGCTTGGTTCATCTCCAATGTCTCCTGTTGGAGTTGTACCTGATTTTATTACCAGTTTTCATCCGAATCCACTGGGGAATAGGACGATTTTGCTTTTGTTTGCTGACCAGGAACTGCTTAATCTTGAAAGTCTTGTGAGAAGACATGGCGAGAAGTGGAGTCAAGCACACAGCACAATGGTGGAGACAGGAAGACAGCGCTGTCTCTTCCTCAGCCTCCCAAAGCACTGGGATTCAGGCATGAGCCACTGGGCACAGCCCTCATTATTGTTTTTGAAGTACAATTTACATGCAGCAAAATTCATCCTTTTTAGCATTCTATGAGCTTTGGCCAATGTATGTATTCATGTAAACACCACCACAGTCAACCTGTAGAATGTTTCCAACATGTCACGTTTGTTTATGCCTCTGTAATCAACCTTTCTCCCCACACTAGCCCCTCAAAACCACTGATGTGGCCAAGCTCGGTGGCTCATGCCTGTAATCCCAGCACTTTGGGAGGCCAAGGTGGATGGATCACCTGAGATCAGGAGTTCAAGATCAGCCTGACCAATATGGTGAAACCCTGTCTCTACTAAAAATACAAAAAACTAGCTGGGCCTGGTGGTGGGCGCCTATAATCTCAGCTACTCAGGAGGCTGAGGCAGAAGAATCCTTGAACTCTGGAGGCAGAGGTTGCAGTGAGCCAAGATCGTGCCATTGCATTCCAGCCTGGGCGACAGAGCGAAACTCCATCTCAAAACAACAACAACAACAACAACACACCAATCTGTTGTCCACCTCTAGAGTCTTCCCTGTTGCAGAATGTCCTATACATAGAATCACATAGGAAGCAGCTTTTTAAATGTGGTTTCTTTCACTTAGAATAACACATTTGAGATTCATCTGTTTTTGTGTGTGTCAAGAGTCTGCCACTTTCCTTGTTAAGTAGTATTCTATTGTGTGGATATACCTATCGTTTATCCATTCACCAGTTGAAAGGCATTTGGGCTATCTCCAGATTGGGATGATTATAAAGAAATCTACCATCAACATTCATGTACAGGTTTTTGTGTGATCATAAGTTTTCAATTCACTTGGGTAAATTCCCAAATAAACAAGAGTAAGATTGTTGGGTTGAATAAGTGTTTATAAATGTATGTTCAACTTTATTTTAAGAAGAAGCCTACCGGACAGATGTAGTGGCTCACACCTGTAATCCCAGCACTTTGGGAGGCCAAGGCGGGCAGATGACCTGAGGTCAGGCGTTCGAGACCAGCCTGGCCAACATGGAGAAACCCCGTCTCAACTAAAATACAAAAAATATTAGCCAGATGTGGTGGCATGCATTGTAGTCCCACCTACTGGGGAGGCTGAAGGAGAGGAATTGCTTGAACCCGGGAGGCGGAGGGTGCAGCACCACTGCATTCCACCCTGTCGTCAGAGCAAGATTCTGTCTAAAAAAATAAATCAATAAAAGAAACCCACCAATTTTCCAAAGTAGATGTAGTATTTGAAAGTTCTAATTATACACATCCTCACCAGCACTTAGCACAGGCACATCTGGTTTTATTGAGCATTGCTTTATCGTGCTTCACAAATACTGTGCTTTTTACTCGTTGAAGGTCTGCGGCAACCCTGCATTGAGCAAGTCTATTGGTGCCATTTTTCCAACAGCAAGTGCTCACTTCTGGTCTCTGTGTCACAGTTTGGTAATTCTCACAATATTTCAAACATTTTCATTATTATTATATATGTTATCTTAATCTGTGATCAGTGATCTTTGATGTTACTACCGTAATTGTTTTGATACACCACAAACCACCCACCTATAAGATGGTGAACTTAATCAATAAATGTCATGTGTGTCTAACTGCTCCATTGACTTGCTGTTCCTCCATCTCTCTCCCTCTCCTTGGGCCTCCCTATTCCTTGAGACACAACAATTTTTATATTAGGTCAATTAATAACCCTACAATGGCTCCTAAGTGTTCAAGTGAAAGGAAGGGTCGCACATCTCTCACTTTAAATTAAAAGCTAGAATTGATTAAGCTTAGTGAATGAGACATGTTGAAAGCTGAACTAGGCTGAAAGCTAGGCCTCTTGCACTAATTAACCAATTAACCAAGTTGTGATTGCAAAGAAAAGGTTTTTGAAGGAAATTAAAAGTGCTACTCCAGTGAACACACAAATGATAAGAAAGCAAAACAGCCTTATTGCTGATATGGAGAAATTTGAGTGGTCTGGATAAAAGATCAAACCAGCCACCACATTCCCTTAGGCCAAAGCCTAATCCAAAACAATCTCCTAACTCTCTTCAATTCTGTGAAGGCTGAGAGAAGGAAAGAAGCTACAGAAGGAAAGTTTGAGGTTAGTAGAGGTAGGTTCACAAGGTTTAAGGAAAGAAGCCATCTCCATCACATAAAAGTGCAAGGTGAAGCAGCAAGTGTTGATGTAGAAGCTGCAGCAAGTTATCCAGAAGATCTAGCAAAGATCATAAATGAAGGTGGCTGCACTACACAACAGATTTTTAATGGAGATGAAACAGGCTTACTTTGGAAGAAGATGCCACCTACGGCTTTCATAGCTAGAGAGGCAAAGTCAATGCCTGCCTTCAAAGCTTCAAAGGATAGGCTGACTCTCTTGATAGGGGTTAATGCAGTTGATGACTTTAAGGTGAAGCCAATGCTCATTTACCATTCCAGAAATCCTAGGGCCCTTAGACTTTTGCTAACGTGTGCTCTGTAAGTGGAACAACAAAGCCTGGATGACAACACATCTGTTTCCAGCATGGTTTATTGAATATTCTAAGCCCACTGTTGAAACCTATTGCTCAGAAAAGAAGATTCTTTTTAAAATATTACTGCTCTTTGACAATGCACCTGTCACCCAAGAGCTCTGAGTGGAAATGTACAAGGAGGCTAATGTTGTTTTCATGCCTGCCAACACAACATCCATTCTGCAGCCCATAAATCAGGAGTAATTTGGACTTTTAAGTCTTATTATTTAAGAAATACATTTCATAAGGCTGTAGCTGCCACACATAGTGACTCCTCTGAGGGATCTGGAAGTGCATGGAAAATCTTCTGGAAAGGATTCGCCATTCTAGATGACATTAAGAACATTTGTGATTCATCAGAGAAGGTCAAAATATTAGCATCAATATAAGTCTGAAAGTTGATTCCAACCCTGATGGATGACTTTGAGGGGTTCGAGAAGTCAGTGGAGGAAGTCACTGCAGATGTGGTAGAAACAGCAAAAGAACTAGAGTTAGAAGTGGAGCCTGAAGGTGTGACCGAATTCCTGCAATCTCATGATCAAAGTTGAACAGATGAGAAGTTGCTTCTTAGGGATGAGTAAAAAAGTGGTTTCTTGAGATAGAACCTATTCCTGTTGAAGATGCCATGAATATTGTTAAAATGACAACAAAAAATTTAGAATATTCTATCAACTTAGTTGATAAAACAGTGGCAGGGTTTGAGAACATTGACTCCAATTTTGAAAGAAGTTCTGCTGTGAGTAAAATGCTATCAAACAGCATCTAATGCTGCAGGGAAGATGTTCATGAAAGGAAGAGTCAATCGATGCGGGAAACCTCGTTGTTATCTTTAAGAAATTGCCACGGCCACTCCAACTTTCAGCAACCACTCCCCTGATGAGTCAGCAGCCATCAACACTGAGGCAAGACACTCCACCAGCAAAAAAGATGATAACTTGCTGAAGGCTCGGGTGATTGTTAGCATTTTGCAGCAATAAAGTATTTTAAAATTAAGATACATATATTTTTTAAGACATAATGCTGTCGTACACTTAGTAGACTACAGTATAGAGTAAACATAACTTTTATATGCTCTGTGAAACAAAAAAAATTCATGTGACTTTTTTTTTTTGTGATATTCACTTTGTCCTGGTGGTAACTGAACCCTGCATATCTCTGAGGTGCCTGTATTGTAATTTTTAATTTTAGCTATTCTGTGTGTGGTAGAATGTCATTGTGGCCTTAACTTGCATTTCCTTAATGATATCGAGTATCTTTTCATGTGTTTATTTGCCATCTTTATATCTCTTTTGGTGAAGGGTCTGTTCAAATCCACTAAAGTGCTGTGATCACAGTTCCGTGTTAGGAGATTATCCTGGCAGTGGTGTCCTGTCTTGCTACTCAAGCTATCAAATGAGGACCGACAGCATCTGCATCTCCCAGGGGCTTGATAAAAATGCAGCACTTTGGCCTCATCCCAGTCCAGCCCAATCAGACTCTGCATTTGAACAAGATCCCCAGGTGATTTGTGTGCCTGTTAAACTTTGAGAAGCATTGGTGTTCAGAAGAAATTAGAAGAGAAGGGAAAAATGTAAGGGAGTAATTTAGGAAGCTATTGCCATATAGAGAACTTAGGAAGGCCGAACAGTCAGAAGGCAAAGGAAGTAAGAATCCACACATCTACTGGCCCAGTCTGGAAACTTGGCTCAGGGTCTGAGTCCCTATCTGTTCCCTTACTTGTGTCCCGCTGCTGGATAAAGGCCCATGTGGTAACAAAGAGGGTCTTCACAGGAAATCCCATTACCTGGAACAGCAGACACATCTGTCCAGGCCTCTAGTTACAACCTGAGGGATGGTAGCGTGGGGAGGCTTGTTGGGTCCCTAAGGCAGGACAGGGATAGGATTCCATTTCATCAATTGCTTTAGCCAGTACTGGCAGTGCCTCTGATACGGCAGTAACCGTGCTGGATACACATGAGTAAGGTCCAGCCCTCAGATGAAAGTCATGAACTAGTGGAAGAGACAGAGAGATGTAATTACAGTTCAGTAGGATCAGTGTCATAGCAGAGATCTCTCTCTCTGTCTTTCTCTAAAATACTGTACAAGCCTAGAACTTAGAGAAGGGACAGAGGGATTCAGAAAAAAGTTAACAGTTGTCTTGGGTTTTAGAATTTTAATAATAGCTAACATTGATGGAGCACCATCATGGAGCTATGTGCCAGACCCGTATTTTAGATTACACATTACTGTGTTTATTCCTCACAGTGGCCTTCTGAGATAGGAACTGGTGTTAGCCCCATTTTATAGACAACGTAACCATGGGCACGCCCCAGGCCTTTTAGCTAGATTCCCACTCAGTCTGTCTGGCACCAATGTTTGCTTTCTTAACTGAGCTTGCACCGTGAGCCAG